TACGTTACGTTTACGTTAACGTTACGTTAGTTACGTACTTTATTAGTACGTAGTAGTAGGTAGGAGAGAGAGAGAGAGAGAGAGAGAGAGAGAGAGAGAGAGAGAGAGTCCCGAACCCAAATCCAACTACTCAAGAACTCAAACCATTGGTGTGTTTTGTTCATTATTTCTACTTTATGTGTAGTTTAGTGAAAGTTGAAGTTTACTACTCTTTATGTGTTTGATATACAATCCTTTATCTTTTTTCTCTATCCACTATTAGGGGTTAGTTTCATTTGTTTTTGACAAACTTATGTCGGGGTTTGAACATGTGCAGGGCAGCCGAACAATTAGTAGGAATTGAACATGACATAACAAAAAGCACTCCTTCACAACATCGATTCTGTAGAGAGAGTTCGAGTATAAAAATGAGGCTCCGAAGGAATGAGGTTTCGGCTACCCCACCAGCTGGGGTCTCATATGTGGGTACCCCAATATTAGAGGAGGATGATATAGAAAATGATTTTTTTTTGTTGGCAAAATCATATTTTGATTCGAGGGAGTATCGAAGAGCGGCTCATGTCCTTAGAGGTCATAAAGGGAAGAAGGCCATCTTTTTGCGAGGCTATGCTCTCTATTTGGTACTGATCCATCTCTCTCTCTCTCTCTCTCTCTCTCCCTTTTAATTCTATGTTTTCTTTTTGAATTTGACAATTGATCTGGCTGTCGTTGATTTGGTTAAAGTTTTAATGGGTCGATGCAATTATATCTGGAAATTTGGAAGGATATTATCCCAGAAAAAGCACATTCCAATTAAGTTGAAGGGCAAGTTCCATAGGACAGATGTAAGACCAGCTAGCTTTAAACAATGGGGTGGGAATGTTGGGCAGGAAAAAAACAAGATACCCATAGAATGAATGTAGCAAAGATGGAGATATTGAGATGGATGAGTGGCAAGATAAGAAGGGATATAATTCGAAATGAATATATTTGAGAAAATTTAGGTGTGGCACCAATAAGCGATAAAATGAGCGAGAGTAAACTTAGGTGGGTTGGCCATGTGTGGCGTAGACCTAATACAACACTTGTTAGGAGGTGTGAGTTAGTTTAAGTGGAAGGTCAAAAAAGGGCAAGGGGTAGGCCCAAAAGGATATGGTTGGAAGTTCTGAGAAAAGATATGAAGACTTATGGTCTCAATGAGGGTACGATCTTTAATAGAGCAGAATGTCGGACTAGGACTTGTGTAGCCGATCCAATTAGTTGGGAAAAGACTTTGACGATGATGATGATTATCCTAAAAAAAATTGAATAGTAGTTATTGGTGAGAATGGGTTAGAATTGAATGGGTCACAATTGAAAATGGGCAACTATTAAACTATTAAAAAAGAAGGGCTACCCTTGAAGTTGCATTGTCGCTCATTGCTTTAAGTGCATCATATAGCATTGCTAGGAAATATTTTGATCCTCTCTCTCTCTCTCTCTCTATAGATCATCTATCTTGACAACTTGTAGTACATACAAGTGCTTGAAATGAAACAAATTGATTGTAACATGATATTCTACTTTTAGACAACTTTCTGCATGTACATGGACGCAATGCAACCTGAGTCCAGGTACTCCATCCATTAATATCACATTGCCAGATATCCACAAGAAAGATCATTCTTTCGTATTCCAGTTCACTTGTGGCATGCATGCATGCAGCAGATCAAAATATTTTATTCCATTATCACTAAGAAACCCACTTCGTTCTTTCCTTGTTGACATTATTCTCTTCTGAGCTTCATGACTCTTGTCTTCCATCCATACCCTAACATGAGGAAAGCTATCTTGGTTTTTTGGAGTTTCCTTTGTGTGTTGCCTTAGCTGCTAATGGCAATCTACAAGACCTCTGCCGGTTGTGTTGTTTATTATGGGGTTTCCTTTTAAGATGTTATTTTTCTATACTGAGTTGAGGGATAGTTTCTTTGACCCAAGGTTTTCTTCTATGCATTAATTGTGTATGTGTTATTTTTCTTTTTTCTTTTTCTAGCCGTAGTGGTAGTGTATTCTTAAACATCAAAAGTAGTACAGTAAACAAAGTGGGTATCAGGGATACGCTTGGCGTTTTGTTGTATATTTTAGTTCAAAGGTTTTATGTCTTTCTTGTAGTAACTAATCCTACTTTTTAGTCGTAAGGGGTTCTATGGACTCACTTAGCTGCAGAGTGGGCTCATTGCTTAGGAGCTAAATGTCTCAGGAGTCAGGATTGGATAATGAATCTATATGTTTCAATTGAGCTTCTACTTTTGTGTCGGGAAGCCCAGCAAGTTCCACTTGGAACTTCTTCTGTACCATGTAGAGAGTTGAATGGCTGCTTTGGAAGTGCAATGGACATCTTTTTCTAGGAAATTTCTTATGCATTGGAAGCCTACATTGGCTTCCACACCAGGGTATTGTATGCACTTTTCTAATGGGAAAGCTACAAAGGTCACAATGAACTTCTTGTAGAAAGACAATGGGGCTGTTCCAGTTCCAACTTATCAAGTGGTTTGGACAAAGTTTAAATGGGATCTCTTAGGTTGGTGCCATGATAGATATAAGGAGGTTCTTGAAGTTCTATTGTGGGGACTATATTGCCGATAAAAGTTGTAGAGGGACTAAGGGACATGTGATTATGTTTGAGATACCAGCAAGTCCATTTGTTGGTCATGTGGCTAGAGGGCAATAACATGGTTGGGTACGCTCGAAAGGAATTGTGAACAGGGTCTAGATGGAGAAACAGAGCTCCGTTTTTTTTTTTCAAGAGGTGTCCATTACTTGTTAGATTCCCTCATTTCCATTTTAGTGTAAGAACAATGGGTTTAAATTGGCTTAATCTTTTGAGAGGATGGATGGATATGTAGTATGGTATATGCGGCTTGAAAGGGATTTATATGAAGAAGAGTTAAATTGCAGGGTGTGTTTGCTTGGATTGTTAGCAAGCTTTACATATTCCTGTCTAGAGGGGAGTTAAAAGTATATGTTGAACTGTTGAAGTACACGTGTCTAGTAATACTTGTTAAATAGTCTCATAGTGTTTATTATGGAGCTAGGGAGTGGTTCCTAACTGTTCTATTGGACCATGTCCAGCTCCCTCTTGAGTTGTATATTTTTGGCTGGGAGTAGCAATGAAAATGATTATCAAAGGGGAACCAGCACTGAAGCCTCCAATTTGATAATCTGTAATTCTGTAGAATATGTTGATGTTGCAGAGTTTTGAACGTATATATTGCATTGGGGGTTCCAATTTGGTAAAATCTGTATGCTGTGTTAGTGTAATAGGAAATTAATTAGAACACCTTCCAGAGATGGAAAGTTAAAAAAAAATAAAATTTTTTGACGATAAATGCTTTACTCCACTATATGCCCCTAGAAATTGTATTTTTGTAGGGAATGTATCATGAAATTCTTATAGACAAAAACCAGAAAGGAATGGGGTTGAGGTCAAGGTGGTAGCACCACCTATGACACAGCTACCAGTCTCGGTTTCCATTCCTACCAATACTAAACCCTTTCAAAAAACTACCAACAGTTTCAAAAATTGCTAACACACTACTAACAGTTAACGTTCAAAAAAATAAAAAAGTTGGCAGTTTGGGGTTCCACCCAAAACGAAATATGCTGCCTGCATCTTAGGGTCCCTTTCACTCACTGACGCTGTGGTTTGAGCAGTAACATTTGATGTAGTTAAACTCCTTTGAGATGGACGTTCAGGCGCGTAATATAATATGCACTCTAGTTGAGAAGAAAGCATCCACATTTTTGACAGTACTATTTTCTTGTTTTCGTCTATAAAAATTTGATTACACATTCCCTCCAAAAAAACATTTTCATGGTACATCAATTTCTAGGGGCAGATAGTGGACTAAAACATTTATTGTCGATCTTGTAAGAAAATTTGTTATGTACTAGCAAATACTCATGCATAATACGCGAGGACTGAGGAGTTGTCTTTCTCTTCATGTCTGTTTGTGGGTGTAATGATGACGATATGATGATAATGATAATGAAAACAATATTAATTAAGCCTGCTTTATGTTAATGATGGATATGTTGCACATGCTATGCATGACTACAATATGGTTCTTTTGATCAGGTTCTAGCTATATATGACCTGTTTTTCACTTTACAAATGTCTATGTCATGTGATTTATATGGTCTGATCATTTCTCTTAGGGAAAAGTGCACTATAATCCAAATAGGTGATGTCACCATTTAATGAAATGATGGACCCTAATGGAAAGCGTTCGACCTGCAATTGTGGTCATTCCTTACCAACGAGGTCCACTGTTTCACAGATTAGCAATGACCCCTGTACTATGGCTTTTATAGCCCATTGGATTATAATATACTTCCCTTTTCTTTTAAACCTCATTTTTCATAATTATTTCTTGACCAATACTTCACCCTCCTACTGCTTTGTTGAAGGCTGGGGAAAAGCGGAAAGAAGAAGAGATGATCGAGCTTGCAGGTCCCTTAGGCAAGAGCGAGACTGTGAACGCTGAATTGGTCGGTCTCGAAAGGGAGCTCTCCACTGAGCGCAAGAAGGGCACCATTGATGCGTTTGGTCTATACTTGTATGGAGTTGTGCTTAAAGAGAAAGGGTGTGAAGACCTTGCTCGAACCGTTTTCGTGGAATCCGTCAATGAATACCCATGGAACTGGAGTGCCTGGTCAGAGCTCCAGTCCCTGTGCACCACCCTCAACATTTTAAACAGTCTCAACCTAAAAAACCACTGGATGAAAGATTTCTTTCTTGCTAATGCCTATTTAGAACTCAAAATGTTTAATGAAGCCCTATCAAAGTATGACTCTCTTCAAGGAATTTTCAGGTTTAGTGATTATATTCAGGCCCAAGTTGCCACTGTCCAATACAATCTAAGGGAGTTCGATGAGGCAGAATTGATATTTGAGGAATTGCTAAGAAGCGATCCTTATCGGGTTGAGCACATGGATATTTACTCAAATGTACTGTATGTAAAGGAATGTCCAGCCGCTCAAAGCTACCTGGCACACAAGGTGTTTCTCACTGATAAATATCGGCCTGAGTCTTGCTGCATTATTGGGAACTATTATAGTTTAAAAGGGCAACATGAAAAGGCCGTCTTATATTTTCGTCGGGCATTGAGATTGAACCGTAAGTATTTATCGGCATGGACACTTATGGGTCACGAGTATGTTGAGATGAAGAACGCACCTGCAGCAATTGATGCTTATCGCAGAGCAGTTGATATCAATCCTCGCGATTGTCGTGCTTGGTATAGTTTTGTATATTATTGTGTAGACACCACAAACACATATAGGGATTGGAAAATATATAATATTATTAGGATTGGACCAGATTTTAGAGAAAAGGAAAGAACAATGGATGTAATAGTAACAATATAGAATGTATCATAGGTTAATATTATTAAAAAAAAAACAATATAGCATGTATCACAAAAATGTTTATCCAACTTTATTTAATTGGTCAAACCGGTTAAAACATATTGGTTTGTGTGGTCGAAACCAATCAAATATTGATCTTGACTGTTTTCGAAACGAACCCAGGTTTTACTTCGGAGTAGACCGGCCAAGGCACCGGTCAGCGGTCTGACTGGTTGGATTGGTTTTGATGACTATGATAATAAGGGGACTATGGAATATCATTCTATGTTGGGGTCATGAACATCTGATAATGTAATGGATGGTGATGGATAGAGCAATACACCATTAAGGTTAAGTCATCACCTAGTGTGTGTTCCCGTAATTGTCATTATATCATTGGGTGGGCAGGATCCTGATGAACGATAGACTATAGCATACATTCCATCACATTTATTATGGGAAAGATAAATCACTACCCTTTTTTAGCATACTGTTTGGCTACAAGTAACATCAGCTATCTTTTGTCTACTATGGCTGGCTGATGTCAATTGTTCCTCCACTCTAATCCGTCAGTGTTTTCTTCAGTGGAAGAATAGTTCACATCTGCCCTCTGTGGTTGGCAATAGAGGGCTCATATTACTCATAGCATACGGAACAATCTGCCAGAATAAATCATAGTACACAAGCTCTTCACTCTCTGCCACACTGCCACTTTTCTGTTTAACGGTGTATCTTTTATGACCTACATGAGGACATGTTCTTTGGCTTGTGTCTATTTTTAATAGGTATGGGCTGGGGCAAACTTATGAGACAATGGCGATGCCCTATTATGCGCTATATTATTTTCGGAAGTCTGTATATTTACAGCCCACCGATTCGCGACTGTGGATTGCAATGGCACAGTGTTATGAGACTGACCAGTTACACATGCTTGAAGAGGCAGTCAAGTGTTATAAGAGGGCGGCGCACAATAACGATACCGAAGGAATTGCCATCCATAGGCTTGCCAAGCTCCATAGCAAGCTTGGGCGCAACGACCAGGCGGCCATATACTATAAGATGAATTTGGAGAAGATGGAAGCTGAACAAAGAGAGGGGCTGGAAATGGTCGAGGCGCTCCTCTTCTTGGCCAATCATTGCAAGACAGAGAATAGCTTTGAAGAAGCGGAAATGTACTGCACCAGGCTTCTTGACTATTCAGGGCCAGTGAGTTTTCATATCTCTCTCTCTCTCTCTCTCCAATGCCATGGTTTTTCTTTATTGATATATAATCAAAGACGAATGCAAATAATAAAACTGATGTTCTTGAGGGAAAAAGGGGGTTACGGGAGTAACTGTGAATTCACCTTGGGTTGAAGGTTGGGATCACAATTAAGGTGGCCTCTGCATTTCAAATTGGATACCCAAAAGTGTATTAGCATTTTGTACATTTGGATTTGAGGAGGACCAGGGGGAATGGGTATCTTTTATCCTCTATTGAGGAAGTTTAAATATGGAATGTTTTTGTGATACTTTGTTCATGTCTTTACTTGCTGTTTGTTCCTCCTTAGGTGAAAAACTAGACTCTCATTAAAGAGGAAACAATTGGTACGATGATAGTACATTTTCAGGCTTAGGATATCCAGGATTAAACCCGGATAACCAACAAAAGTGTATCCATAGGACAGAGCTTTTCGCACTACAGTCTCTCTTTCTCTCTCTTCCTTGTCACTCTCTCACACACACGCACTGACCTGCATGCGGATCCTTGTGTACACTCCATTAATTTGATTTGTTCTTCTTTCTGCAAATATCTGCCACTCTTCTTATGGACTCTCATGGTTTCAGGAGAAAGAAACTGCTAAGAGCCTTCTTCAAGGGATGAGAAGTACACCACCATCTGGTTATCTATTAACAAACATGGATCATTTTGCTCCATGAGCTCGATATTTCCACAGGATCTAAGTCTTGTTCAGGATTTGGGGTGATAGGTGTTATTTTTTATGTGCAAATCTCACTGAAGGTTGCTTTTAGTTTGCACTTGAGCTCAAGAAAATTATCTACTAAGAGGTACGACTCCTTCAATCTCTCCCATTATGTAACATCAATCCGTGTGGGGCAATTTTAAGAAGAAAACAAGAGCTCTCCTTGCTTGTTACCAGAAAAAATTCATGTCTATATTGGGTATTTGGCTCTGAATAAAATCAGATTTCATCTGTTGCCTACATGATCTCTCTCTCTCTCACACACACACACACTAACACTAGCAGAGGGCTCAAACTTTGGGATGTTACTTGACGATGGCTGGCTTGACAAATTTGGCTCTCTTGCTTCACAATCGAACTTTGAATGTCATACCATCTTATCTCTTCCTCCCTGAATTACTTTCATGTTTCCTATCAATCATTTGTGGATGATAACTTCTAGTAGAGATATCATCACAACGTGCTGACTTTTTGTTCGTGAAGCAAGTTCCGTTCTTACCATAGGTAGGGGGATCCCTTCCCCACTGAATTACCGAAAAAAAGAAGCAAGTTTCGATATTTCTTATAGGGAATCACTCTAGTTGAATGCGAGAGTTGCAGGGCCATGCTCGATTTAAGGAATCCAAAGGGATATGAATGAAGCTTGCGCACTCTCTATGACATCTTTTACGAATTGCTGAATCTTAGAGACCAATGATGTCAAGTGTCGGAACGGAGGAAAAAATATAGTAAGTGGAAGGACTGAGAAGGCCAATTCCAGTGCAAGCATCTTCAATGTAAAGTTATGGTACCCGTGGTTTTATGCACGAGATGTATCTGCTTTCATCAGCCATTGAATCCCTTCATACTTGTTGAAAGAAATGCTTGTGGACACAGGAGGGGTGGAGAGAGAGAGAGAGAGGTGGTGTCGGTGGATGAGGCTATCACCTATCAGGACGTCATTTACAGAGTTGAAGGTTCTTCGGATGATTATAGCTATCCACTCCTATAGTTGAATGATGCAAAAGTCAAAGGCCGATATTTCTTAAGTAGTGTTATTAATGAGGGTTTCTGGTACATGTTCAAAAAAAGAATGAAGGTCTTTGGTAAGTACGCCAAGTGGCTTGAATCATGCGGCTGCCCTGGTTTTCAACAGTTTCAGGAACCCAAAAACATCAAATTCATTTTCAGCCCAAACCATGAATTTGGAGCTCCATGGATACTGTAGATGTGATATTCTTTGAAGAACTGAAATGGGCAACCCAGGAAAAAGAAGAAAATAGTAGATAGGAAAGTATATAATGAGACTATTTTTTTTGATACGAGGTGGTCAGGTCATAATTAATCTTGGCCATTGGATGTGAAATTGGGTGGCTGTATTTATTTTATTGACCAAACTCAAAGTTCAAAAGAAATTTAAATTTTTTCAAACATTATGACACACCCAAGCTATCAGATTTCACATTTGTTGGTTGTAAGTAATTGTGATATCGATTAATTCATTTTTCCTTTATTTATGATTGTGGTAGTTGAGATTCATAAGAAGTTTGGGCCCATGAAATTCATTTATAAAGTGGATTTTAGAATTGTTGACTTACTAAAATAGATGCACCCGAGGCTGCAACTAAACCCTCTTGATTGGATTGGTGGTTGAAATGTAATTACTTATTTATTTATTTTTGATAAGATCACAATGACTTTATTACTTAATCAAACCAACGATTACAGTGAAGATGATAAACACAATAATTAAAAAGATAAGAAATTGAGCACCAAAGATGGGGTAAACACTCCATCCTTAGCAAGCCAGCCAACCCTTTCATTCGCTTTCTTAAAAACATGATTGAAAGCCACAACTTTATTGCGACAAATATCCAAAGCTTCCAACCAAAACCTTTTCAAGCTCCAAGGTGGTTTACTAGATCTGGACATCCAGTGTCCCTTTCCACCAGCCATGTGGATTGATCACAACGACCTTTCAACAACTTTAAACCTTGAAGCATAGCTAACATTTTTGTTTGGTTTGCCGTAGTTATCCCACATGGACCACAAAGTGATTATCTTTACACCTTGATAATCTCTAACCACACCTTTGAAACCGGCACGTCTTGGGTTTTTCAAAGAATTGCTATCAAAATTCAACTTAAAATATCCATGATAGGGTGGGGTCCATTGACATCGAATACTGGGTTTAGAACTTCGTCGGTGTAACAAACTCTTCACATTAAATCGAACACCAATATTTGAAACCCCAAAACATTCCTTCGAAGAAGAAAACTGCAACCAAACATTTTGAAAAATCTTATCTTTCACACGATCTAACTCCCAACTGAAGCCCTAAAAGATTCGCTTGTGTCTCTAACAACACTTTCCAAATGATTAAAGCTCTGAAAATCTGCCATATCATCACCTTTTTTTAGGCAAAGAAAGAATCGAGAGTTGATCTATCAGATCAACATGATGTGTCGGTAAAGGCATTTGAAAACCAATAATTTGAAAGGCTCAGATCCACAACACTGAAGTAAACTGACAATGAATGAACAAATGATCTCCAGTGTCTTCATCATTTTTATGCAACAAGCAAATATTAACGATTATTTTCCCCTCTTCCGCCAATTACTTATTAATATGATTTATGTGGAGACATGTTTTAAGTTTCGCTTTACGATTTATGTGGAGACATGTTTAAGTTTCCCTTTTGAAGTCAAGGTGTGGGTCGTGTCATAGAGATGTTTTTCTATTCATTAGGTACTTTCCTTTGGAAGAGTTCGTTAATTTATAAGGTGTTTGTGATGATATTTGAGAGAGAGAGAGAGAGAGAGAGCTTGGGTATTGAAGTCATGGAGTGAGATTGTTTAATGTGGGTTATTGGAATGAGGGTGAGGGAGAGGGAGAGGGAGAGGGAGAGGGAGAAAGAGAGAGATTGTTTACGGTGGGCTATTGGAATCATGGGAGGAGAGAGAGAGAGAAGGGAAAAGAGAAAGAGAGATTGTTTAAGGTGGGCTACTGGAATCATGGGAGGAGAGAGAAAAATAGAGAGAGTGAAGGGAAAAGGGATTGTTTTTAAGTTGGGATATTGAAGTCAGTGTGTGGGTCGTTTTTAACAGAATTGTGCATGTGAAGATATTTGAGAGAGAGAGAGAGAGAGAGAGAGAGAGAGAGAGAGAGAGAGATGGCCCTTTTCCAAAGGAGGATGGCTAAAGAAGAGGAAAATACAGCCAACTGATGATGATCATATTAGTACTCACAAATAAACATGGATCAATCCGCAAATGAATAAATCAAATAATACAATATCACCAGTTTGGAGAGGTGGGTGGTGGCAATGGCTCGATCAGGTCGAACATATCGACTGGAAAATCATCAAAAAAGCCGTCTGGGGTTGCCAGGAAATCCTCATCCCCTCTTATCTCTTGCCTGAATTCATGTCCCGGCAAGCCTGTAAAGTTCTCCTCCGCAAAAAAGGGAATGGGGTTCGAGTTTGCAGGCAGTAGATGAAGGTCTAGAGGGGGCTCTTGGATTTGAAGCTCCGTTTTGGGCCTTAGTTCATGAAGGGATGGCTTTCTTTTTAAGATTGGGAGGTTTTCTCTCACTAGATCTGGCAGCTGAGGTGTGGGAATGACTTGAGAGAATGGGGTAAGTGGGTTAGGTCGGCAAAGTGATATCTGGTCTGAGGAAGCTGTGTTAATCACTGTTGGATTCTGTAATTAGAGAGAAAATAAGAATGATAGCAAAAATGAGAGAGAGCAAAAAGAGGTGAGAATACATTGAGAGAGAGAGGTTAATTGTACTGTTGGAGGCTGAAATTAGAGAGAGCAAGTAAATAATGGTTGCCAAAAAGAGAGAGCAATAACAGGTGAGAATACATTCTAGAGAGAGAGAGGTTAACATAGAGTTTAATAAAGAGAGATTAATTATCCACAGTTAGGATGCTGCATTGGTTTGTATATACCATTCAATAATGGTGTGAAGGCCTACTTTCTCTAACTAGAAAAACTCTGTCCCTTCTCTCTCTAAGTTGTCAGAAAAGCTTTGATTAATTTTAGTGGGCAAGTGGCATAATAAAAGAAAAAAAAAAAAATGAAGTTCTCTTTATTCTATACCCAGACACCAAATCTCCTTCCGTTAATTTTTTCCTTCACGTGGCTAAGTTACCATTATTTTTTTAAGGAAAAATATACAATATGATCGATTATTTTTGGTACACGGAGGTCACAATTAATCTTGACCATTGAATTGGATGTGAAATTGAGCAGATACATTTGTGTTAGAGCTAACTTTTCAAAGCTTATGATACACTTAAGCTGCCAAATTTCATATCCCTGGTTACACGTAATTGTGATATCCGTGTAACAAAGGTAAATAACTCATGTATAGAATTTCTTTTTTAACCATTTATTTTTTGTTACGACCTAAAATAAATATCGTACGCATTTTTCTTTCTTCATGTAAATCACATAAAAATCTTCTATTGCTAAATTTGTGTCACAAGAGAGTGGCAATGCATCAGGCAGCTTGGTTGGCTTGATTCAAAACAAACCAGGTTAAGACCGCTAAATTTGTCTCGAGGGCTGGACCGAGACTGGTGAGAGCCAGAGGTCATAGCCCAGCCCTGCTCTGCCCTTTCTTTTGTTTTTCTTTTTATAAATATAAAAATAAATATAGTTAATATTTAATGGTACGGCATGTGGCTGGGCTGAGCAACCTAGCCCAAGAGCAGGTTCAGCCCAGCCTAGGCCCTGTTGGCTTGGTGAGGCCATGGGAGGCCCTCTAGGGTCCAAGGCTGGCCGGCCCTAGTGCGGGCCATTGCCACCAATTATCTCTTTCTCTCTATCTGTTACCTGAAAGGTCACAAAATCCTCGAAAACCGGTGCCTTTGCAGCTGGCTCACTGCTTCCGATCAGTGGGCGTAATGCTTTACATGGCGGAGGTGGCGGAGGGAGCGGCGCCGCCACCTGTAATGTCCTAGCAAGCCTCTTTTGCCTCGTGCTCCAAAAATTCTTCACATCATTATCTGTGCGGCCGGGTAAATAGGTAGCGATTCTTGCCCATTTATTCCCGAATTTCGCTTGTAACTCGATCACAATTCGCTCTTCTTCAGGTGAAAATTTGCACCCACTAAAAGCAAATAATGCAAAAGTAAAATAAATACGAATTATTTATGGTAAAGAAACTTCTAAAATGCATAAATTCTTAAAATGACTATGATGCCCCTCATTTTCTTTTGGACAGTTTAGTAGTATGAGTCAAACTTGTGCAAACTTTAACGGCTAACGACTCCCGTCTAAGCCTGCTTCTTACTGTACCTCTTTTTATTGCAAAATTGTCGAGCGTTAGCGCTTGACAATTTATAATGATACGTCCTAAACTCAATTCCTATCAAGGGTTGGGGCCCTCTCCTTACTTATTCGCTCAAAAAAGAAAAAAGAGTTTTCAATTATCTCGTGTTAGTTTTTATCAAGCAAATTAAAAGCTTATTTTTAATACATAACCACTCGTAACTGTCAAATGCGAAATTGGCAAATTGAAGCTTTATTTCCAATACACAACTACTCTCAAATGTGAAATTGGATGGTAAGAGGTGTTTTTCGTTTTGCACAAAGCATGAAAAGATTTTCTAGAACATTAACATCCAACGGTAATTATAATATTCTTATACCAAAAATAAAGTGTTATTGCATAATTTTTTGTGGAACTGTATACAAAGAGACATTTACTTTTAGTACAAGGAGGTCACAATTACCGTTATCCATTAGATTTCAAAATATGAAGTTGTAAGAGCATCATTGATTAGATCCAAAGTTCAAAAGAAAAAAATTCTCAAACTTCATCAATACCCCAAACCTTCCAATTTGATTTCTACATACAATCCCATTTCTCTTTTGTAAAAAACAATGTAAAAATAATAATAATCTGGTGGGTAGCACCCGTCACCCATTGGTTCCGAGTTGAACTTACTTGGCCAATTTAAATAAAAAATAATGTAAACAAGGTTCAAAAAGTTTAAACAAGGTTGAGGATCCTCAAATCCTTCTAAAACCAATATTTGTATCACATTAAGGTGTTACTTAATATGATTTTAGGGTGGTTTAGTTTGAGATCCATTCACCAAGGTACTTGGATCGGTCATCCAACTGTTTTGAGTTATACAAGGAAAACGGACATTTACTGACTTTTTAAATTTAAACCCTTCTAGAATTTTTTCAGAATTTTTTTTTTTAAAAAAAAGAAGTATTTTTGGAAAATATCTTTGCTCTTTAAAATCGCCAAACAGCATCATGGGGTGGATTGAACC